TTTATACACGTGATTTGAATGACGCAATCTCTCTGCAATTGTTAAAAATGTTGATTAACCTACAAGCTGAAAAAAACAAAGTTAATAATTTGCAGGTCACGTGTGTTCCAATCCGTTGGTTGTGATCTGTTACACCACTACTACACACCCACACTGCAGAATTTAGCTACTCATTTACCTATCGAATTCTCATTAGTGCCACAACAAAGCTAGCAGAAAGCAGATCGTTGGCTTCTTTTTACCTTTGCTTCAGTTTCTTCCTCAAAACCAGAAGCTTGCATTTTAAAGCACACGCTGTTTTTCAGATAAATCGTAGCCTTGTGTTTTTGGAGCTCAGAGAGTTTCCAGATATTGTACGTCCTCTCATAATAATGACCAGGATGTACAGCCACACACACACCCACACACACACACACACACACACACACACACACAACCCCCCGCTCTTCAAAAATTTTATCCTGCACATGCCGTTTGGAAAGTCTCTGCACGGGCCTGCTCCCACACATCAAGTCATTTCTGATTCTTCCTTTAATGAATGGCTGATGAATCCCCTGTAGAATGCTGAAGCACGCGTCTGAAAAATGGCTCCTGTACTAGTAGGCAGGGCTTTGTTCACCATCTTGACTGTTACACTTTTCCCCATTCATAAAAATACGAATGACAAGTCTTGTGTGTTCTATATTTTATGATTGTCCATGCACAACTCAAAAATAAACAAATATGAAGCATCTCATGTTGAGCAAGTTCATGAATAAAGGACATTTTATAGATTTTTTTTCTTTCTTTTTGCCATCAGCATTCATGAATGTTGTTTGAATCTGTGCACGAGGTTACCCTAGAAATCTCAGCTGCTTGCCCTTTATAGGTGTCGCGGTTCAAGATTATCCATAGCGCCACACGCTCGTTGGTCGAAATGTCTTTTTATTGTAAACGTGGTTCTTATTCAATTTGCTTCAAGAAAAATTGTATTGTTTTTGTATTTTTATTAGGAATCTGATTTCTAGTGACGGTTATATATATTTAAATATTATGGAAGGGAGACAGGTGGAGAGCCACATATTTTTGGTCAAAGAGCCACATAGGTTCCCTGCCACTGCAATGATTTTTTTTTTAGTGTGTATGTTTATTATGTACATCTATGTATATATATTGACTTAAAATGTGGTCATGATACAAATTATATTTACATTTATACATCTATGAACAAAATTGTATAGTTTTGTTTCAATCACACACACATAATATATATATATTTTCAGGACACTTCTATACAGCTTAAAGTGACATTTAAAAGGCTTAACTAGGTTAATTAGGTTAACTTGTTTGGGTAATTAGGCGAGTGGTTTGTTCTGTAGATTATCGAGAGAAAAAAATAGCTTAAAAGGGCTAATAGTTTTGACCTTAAAATGTTTTTTAAAAAATTAAAAACTGCTTTTATTCTAGCTGAAATAATAAAAAAAAGACTTTCCCTAGAAGAGAAAATATTATCAGACACACTGTGAAAATTTCCCTGCTCTGTTAAACATCATTCAGGAAAAATTAAAAAAAAAGAAAACAATTTCAAAGGGGGTTTAATAATTCTGATTTCAACTGTATATTTACACACATGTACATAAATTGACTCAATAATGAGTTAAAAATCTGTTGGCACAGATTTCGTGTGAGACTAAATCATTCAACTAATTTAAGCAAAAAAAGCAAGCTTATGGATAGATGTGACTAGGGCAAATGCTTTTTTGAAGTTAGTTGAAAGTTAGTGGTATATGTAATCTTTTTTTCTCTCCCTCTCTCTGTTTGTAGCAGCTGTGTGTGTGTCAGATTGTCTCACAGTTTTGCTGATGAATAACCAGCTGAGAGTCTCAATACAACACCTGCTGTTTGAGCGACGCTCAGAGTTCCCGTTTTAGATTCTTCCTTAAATCCATGGTGGCTTTTCGTTTTTGGTTGAATTTGTTTTTTAATAGTTTCTCTCAAGTGTAACCTTTTGTAGAAGGTGGAGTTGATGAGGGATGAGTGTGTAATTGTTACACATATTTGATTAACAGTCATTCATATACTGTACTGTATATATTAATTGCTTGTGTATTGCCTATCTATTTTAGGCATGTTCAACATTGAAAAAAATATTTTATGTAGTGCTGGGCAAAGATTGTTTTTGGTTAATCGCATTCAAAATAAAAGTTTAACATGAGTTATGTGTGTTTGTTATATTTACACTCACCAGCCACTTTATTAGGTACACCTTACTAGTACCGGGTTTTACCCCCTTTTACTTTTAGAACTGCCTTAATCCTTCGTGGTATAGATTCATCAAGGTACTGGAAATATTCCTCACAGATTTGTTG